ACTTTAACTTTAACTTCAACTTCAAGAGAAATGAAAAATTAAAAAACAATAATATGAATGTTATTAACACTGTCCATGACAATAATAAGTGCAAGTTTTCTCAAAATCCATGATTTACACAACATATTCTATATAGATTTTGAGGATTTCAAACTATTTGCTATTCCCCATATAGAATAGAACTGAAATATACATTTCGTAAAAAGATTAGTGGTGTATTATTCCTTGGTTAATGAATTATATCAATCTATGGCATGATTTTATGTTTATGTTTGCTCCATGACAAATTTTGACATTTCGCCATCTCACAAGTTTCGTTGTCTGAGTAAGATTCATTGAATTATTATCTATTGGTAGAATGTTTATAAACAGGGCGACAAAATCGAACAAACAGCACCTTCTGTATGCTGGTTGTAGCTGGACAAGTGGACGACAAGCTTTATATCATATACAACTAGAACGAAGATACAGGAAAAACTCACTCTTGGATTTATTCGCTGTCCGTCTGGTCGAACTATACTGATGTCTGGAACTGGAACTCCGGTAGCAGCAATTTGTAAACTGACAGGTTGGCTTTCATTCACATCAATTCGAGATTGGGAGAGAGCAATTGTAGGTGCTTGATCTTGACGTTCTGAAAAACAGTGGATTATAGGTTGCAGTGAATATCAGAAGTATTTCGTAACAGTAGTTGATTAAACATGAGTATTACCTGGTGGATTCAATCCGTACGTGAGAGAAACTAGGAAAGCATGAAATCAGAACAGTTTTCAATCTTATGTAATTACTTAAAAATTCAGTCATCACCCCAAGTCAAAATAGTCTACACAAAAGTCAATGACCGAACACGGTTAAAATAATGCACAATATTTCACCATAGTCGGTATGGTTTTTGTTATGTATCGCTGCTGTTGAGAAAAACCGTCGATTATTGAAAGGATATTGTTGCAATTATCCGTGTGTTTGTGGATCTCCATTGCGTACCGTTCCAGTCGGCTGGGGTATTCCTGGTACACGGTATGCGATACACCCCTGCTGCTGATAGTGGGTCTTCTTTGCCTTTAGCTGACCTGAGGCTTCCTTGTATATTCTAGGTAGGTTTGAAAACCGTTTCAATGTTGTCTTTTCCCGGAAACAGTACAGAGAACCATTCTCAGAACTGAAGCCATTTCACCTATGCTCTTCAATCTTCCGGAGGAATATAAACCCAACTTGCCACTGAGACCAATAGTCAACGCCCCAGATTCGCCTATCTATCACCTAGAGAAACATCTGGCCTCGCTCCTGCAGCTTCACGTGGTGAAGAAAACCTCCTTCGTTAAGGATTCGACATACTTTGTTGATAAAATCAGGGACATAACTATGGAGCCGACAGATATTCTGATCAGCTTCAATGTTGTGTCCTTATTCACTAACGTCCAACTGGAAGACCCTCTGCGGGGCCAGCCTACTTGTGATATCGTCGGACTCTTCAGAGCAAATCTCACGAGAAGTTTCTTTCAATGGAAACTTCTATAAGCAATTACATGACGGGGCGACGGAAAGTCCACTAGCCAGTGATAGATAACTTCCTCATGGAACATTTTGAAGAGAAGGCAATCGACGCCTTTGAGTTAAAACCGACCTTGTGGATATAATACGTGGATGACACCTTTGTCATCTGGAAACTTAGAAGGGGCGCTCTAAACTTTTTCCTGGACGACTTGAACGCTCAACACCCCAGCATCAAGTTCACCATGGAGACTGAACAGAAACAGAGGACAGCATTCCTACATGTAGGTATCCATTGAACGATGTGGTAGTAGATTAACCCACGAAGTATTCCGAAAGTCTACACACGCGGATAGATACCTGCACGCATTATCGATCCACTATCCTAGCTGACAGAACGGGTTCGAATAATATGTGAACCAGAGTATTTAGAAAAAGAACTAGAACATCTTCAAGTGACCTTGAGATCGAATGGATACAATGTACCCGTTAGCATCAAAGCTATGAAACTGAAAAGTTCCACGGTTCAAATCGGGAAGGATGTTCAGATGGTTGCACCACCATATAGTCCTAGGGTAACAAAGAGAATGGGGTATCTCTTGGGGAAAAACAAGATTGGAACTGTTTCAAAACCCACCAAGAAGATACAGCAAAGCCTCAGGTCGGCTAAAGTCAAAAGTGACCCACTATCAGCAGCGGGGTATATCGCATACCGTGCACTTGTGGAAATGTATACATCAAAACCATCGAAATAGCCATGGGAACAGGACTGAAGGATCATGGAAGAAACTACAGACTAGGCCAAACAGACAAGTCGGCTGTGGCGGAACACGCAATCGGTGGAGGAGACCACAGAAAAAAAAGATATGAACCTCAACCGAATATGGAATCCTATTCTAATAATTTTTCAATAGTAGCAAACATCGTGACAACAGGTAGAAAAGGGTCAACGAATGTTATTGACAATAATTCACCTAATTCAGGTATAGAAATCAGCACACCAAACTACCTGAATCAACATTAATTTGCTTTATGCAATCAGAATACCCAGTCATTGGAGATGAACTCAAGATATATGTATTCCTGAAGAAGCTAGCCACTCGCATCAGCGAAACGTCAGGAAAAAATTCCAATAATCGATGGCTTTCGAATCCGAGTAAAAATAGTGACACTGAAAATCTCATTTTCTCAGTAGAGTTAACCTCACTTCAGCGAGATAGACGCCATCACACCAGCCAGGTTACCTCTCAGCCTGCCATACAAGGTAGACAGATCACCCAGGCAACCAGAGTGTACCAAATTTTCATGTGGTGTAACCGAAATGTTATAACTTTGATGAAGACTCAAATAGAATTTGATGAAAAAGTAACAAACATGTTGGATCTCTGATGAAGACTTCGATTGAGTTCGAAACGGTACACTCTGATGATGAATAAACCGAAATAATAGGGCTGTAACTAAGGAGTTAGCCTCGACACTACCGTTAGATACTGGAAGTAATTGCGAACTGTTGATAGTGATGGCTTCTGTCATTGCTTTTTGAATTGCTTTTACATTTGAATTATGATCTCTGTTCAGTTGATGAAACATATTTAGTTCTGTTCGAAGTTATATTAAAAAAAACAATTATGACAGAGCCGGAAGTGGCTTATCAGTGTAGAATTAACCTCACTTCAGCGAGGTAGACACCATCACCTAAGCTGGGTTACCTCTCAGCCTACCACACAAGGTAGACAGATCACCCAGGTAATCAGAGTGCACCAAATTGTCACGTGGTGTCCTGTCACCCAGCGGTGAAACAATCAGGGTTTACTCAGAAAATTTAAGAAATATCCGATTTTTGAAATTACCGCAATTTATTTCTATAAGGAGATGGTAAGTTTATGTGAATTTACAGTCACTCACATAAAAAAAATATTCACGCTTTGAGATTGGTGAGACATTAGTTAAGTTCTATTCTAGTTCTAGTTATTAAAAGATTGCTGAAAAACAACACGAAATCATGAAAAGTTTCAAGAAAAATTGAATGAATGTTCGTTTGAAACTTGTTTTTTTATCACTTGAAACAATTTTTGATGTCATTGAAATTCTATGTGTATGTTCAAATGCCTATTGAATAACTTAAACCAGAAACAATAAATGAGGTGAACGTACCTCCAACATTGAGGTCCACGCTGGAGGTGACAATAGAATATCCATCACTAGCCTCGCATATATAACGACCAGAATCTGATACTCGAAGATTGGTTATTACCAGGATTCCTCTTCCGTTATCAATTGCTCGAGATGGTAGATCACCTTCCGCCTTCTTCCAAATAATTTCGGTCTGAAAAAAATATTTTGAACAAGAGATTCTTCAAGTTTTCAATCATGTTACAACTGAACACTTCATGTTAAGATTCATGCATTAAAAAAACTACGAAAAGGTTTTGAGATGCAGCGGATATACTTTTTGAAGAGAAAGGTCAATGTTGCTATTTACATAATCATAATAACATTGACCAAAACTTCAATGTTATTCATTTATGTTCATTGATACACAGAGCTCATGTCAAAAATGACTTCAAGTAATAATTAGTCCTGATGATTTTGGGAATCAGATTAGAATATCTCCTAACGATCTATGTGAATATAACTGGAGTTTTTTCCCAACACCAAACCGTTATTTTAGCACCTCGACACATCTTTCGATCACCAAGTGGTTATCTTAAAGGGAAGAGGAATATTTTCCTCTTGAAGATGATCACTTGGTGACGAAACACGTGTCGAGGTGTTGAAATAACGGTTTGGTGTTGGGAAAAACTCCAGTAATATCCATTACTACATCAAAGGTTCCAAACAGTGCATCATAAGAACGATCTATGTCTTGAACAAAAATGAGTACAGACGTCTATTTTTGAATCGGCTCTGAATTTTCAAAATGTAACTCACCCTTGAGGAAACACGGGATCTAGCTGAACAGTTGTATCTGACGGTGCTACCAACTTCGTAAATTCCTATAGTGGGCACCTTGATACTAACTTCTATGGTCGATACAGGAGAATTGGTGGTAGTGATTGGACCTTCAGTAGTGGTTGTTGAAATATCAGCTGAAAATTGGATCAAATGAGATATGTAAACTGAGAGTATTCATTTAAATTGCGAAAGTGGCGCATTTTCAGTCTCGGAATTCTGCGAATTCTGACAGTATATTCAATGATTCCGTAGCTCATCGAAATGAATCTTGACTCAAACCTCATTGATCCATTGAGAGCCACATATGCTCATACATAGTTTGGGATTTTTCTCATATATTATACATGTGTGTATTTGTTATTTTGGAGATTATACAACTGAGTATGAAATGAATATAATTCAATTTCATGTACCATTTTTCAATATTGATATCTTGAAATAACTAGAATATGTTCAAATCTGATATTTATCCATTGTTGCTCAGTAATTTGTCCAACCCTATGGAAGTTCTTGTATTCTATACGTAGGTATTCTATACTTTTTCTCTATGTCTACGTCTAATTCTCAGTTTGAAAAGAAGAGATAGAATTTCACAAATGCTCAAGGAAATACGCTGGTTAAGTATGTCTAATTACTACAGGAAATATTCAATTCTTCCTTCTCTTATCAGATTGCTATAACTGCCTGTTTACTGGATATTGTCAATTTTGCATTTTCTCTGAATTCCTTCAGAAATAAAAAAAACAATTGTTGGAACACCAATGACATCACTTAGTGAATAGAATGCATCTTTTTAGTTCATGTTTGTTCAACCAGTGTTAATTATTTATATAGGTTATGGTTACTTACTTTATTATAGTAGGTAGATTTTTTAATAATGATCCATCATCTATTTTTTTGTTAGGGGACTGTGGAAGAATCGGTCAAATGACCTAACACTACCCTTTCTGTTTTCCTGTCTTTTTAAGGTTAAGTTTTACAGTTCTGTAATTATTTTACCAACAAACAATTACCAATTCACTTTATTATTATAAGGTTACTTCCTTATTTTCATACTTGTCCCTCCGCTAGCCTGTTCGAAACCTGTAATCCAATATAAGTGACTAGCACCTGGAAAAATTGTAAAAATCAAACACTTTAGATTTTTATCGAAAATACAAGTATGATGGTTGAAGATGATGTTAATATTATTAGGTGTTTTGATGAATCAATAGGTGATAATCTCATTTTTATAGAGGATATTGAATGATTTTAGGATTGTTTAGGCATACGAGGGTGACCTGAAAAGTTTTCGACCTCAACATGAAGATAGCACCACTCGTAAATGAGAGCAAGTGAAATCCGTTGTTCAGATGTTGATAGTTACTCACCAAAGTTCCAGACATTTTGGACGTGCAATTGTTATGTAATAGTCGTTTGAGTGAATTATCGTGAGTGTTTTCATGGAAATGGACAAGTTCGTGTGTCGAACTGTCATTAAATATTTGTTTTTGAAAGGCAAAATGCCCACGTAAATCACAGATGAAATCTGTGACTTCTGACTTCTGAGTATGGGGACCCTGCACCATCATTTACCATAGAAAAATTTTGGGCAGCTAAATTCAAACGTGGCCGTAGGAGCTTGGGTGACTATAAACTTTCGGGATGCCCAAAAACCAAAACTACCGACGAAAACATCGCCATTGTTCACCAAATGGTGCTAGACGACCGGCGAATTGAAGTGAAAGAGAGCAGAGGTTATAATCATGAAGAAAAAACCTGTTTGTCACATATTAAATTCACAATCAGGCATGAGTTCGCCCGTTGGGTGCCGCGTTTGCTCACTATTGACCAAAAACGTGTTCGAATGAATATTTTCAACGCAGTTAAGGCTCGATTAATCCGAGTTTTGTCACCATTGTAGGCATGAAACAAAAATACAGTCTAAACAGTGGACTGTAAGGTGGGAACCGGCGACTATCTTTGGGATAATCATAGAGTTATTTCAATCGATCACCTTCAAAAAGGAAGAATCATTACAGGAGCATACTACGCATCATTACTTGACAAGTTGAAGGCAGAACTCGCTGAAAAACAGTCACAATGGCACCAAGACAACGCACTTTTCCAAACCTTAGCAGTTGCCACGGTGAAAGTCTACGAATTACGGTTTGATCTGCTTTGCCATCCAGCTTACTCACAAGATCTAGCCCCAAACGAATTATTTTTGTTTCCTCATCTAAAAACTGCGTTCGGAGAGATTTTCTTCAAATGGAGGGGTACTCACCTTCGTGAACAATTATTTTGCAGAGAAAAACGCCGAGTATTATGTAGAGAGAGAATATGAATGAATTTAATGAAAATTAAAAAACCTGAAAAATGTCTTGTATTTTTGTTAGATCGGAAACATTTTAGACCATCCTCGTTTCATTGAAGCAATTGTTTATACAAGGTTAGGTTAGGTTTTGGATAAGTTATGGTTAGGTTAAGTTAGATTAAGTTAGGTTAGGTTAGGTCAGGTTAGGTTAGGTTAGGTTAGGTTACGTTAGGTTAGGTTAGGTTAGGTTATGTTAGGTTAGGATAGGTTAGGTTACGTTAGGTTAGGTTATGTTAGGTTAGCTTTGGTCAGGTTCAGGTTAGGTTAGGTTTGGTCAGGTTCAGGTTAGGATAGGAATTTTGAGGAAAAAATAATTAATTTGCTTCAACTTTCAGTTCGTGAAATCCCGAATCATTCAATGGAGTTATCGAGTTGAATCATTCAGAAACTCTAATTGAGATGGTTCTCAACGCCTGAAGGTGGCATGCCGAAATAGAAACAGGAGACCGGCACAGGAGACCTAGACAAGTGAAAATTGTTCTGTCACTGTTGTATTCGGAGTCACCACCTTGACGAAGATGAACAACGTAAATCATCTGATGATGAAGTCAGTCCAATAATATTCTGAGCATTCGGGCACACCCTGAATTAGCAGATATTATATGAAGCTCATGTATGCCTCCAAACTGTTACTCAATGCTTGCAGTATATTGCTCAATTCAGGAAACGATAATGTAAATGTGCTACAGTCAACGCAGTTATAGGACAAACATGGTTTATCCCCTATTGTTAGGTAGATATAAATGCTGGTTGCAAGATGGCCTCCTGAAAAGGGAACTCTCCTTTCAGTCCAGGTAATTAGTGTTTCTTGCAAAACTAATAAAGAGATGCCAATGAGATAGATGGAACTGCTTGTAACGTTTTCCCCCCACGAGAAGTGGAAGCTTCACTACCTACCTGGAGCGAGAAATCTTGATTTTCATTGAGAATTTGTTTTACAATTCAATAATCATTGTATTTCAACGACTTATTGGGAAGAGAACAAGAATCCAATATATTGCTTTGCTGACAACAGCACACTTGTTGCGTAATTCCATTTGGATTCCAGGACAATAGCTGCGAATGCAGATCTTCACCGGCAGCAGGAGGTTGCATATCTTGATGAGGATCTAGAGATGATTTCGATTTGGAATACTGTGGCTATTCATTGTTCTGAGATTCAACTCAGTACACCTCGAACTTCACTGTTCAAAAACTCTTTCATTTGGAGAACTGCTAATGGAGAACACTCAATGGTATGGATGTTCACCTAAAATAGGGTCGCATATGACCTTGTATACATTGATATTTCTGTCCTGGGTATGCGACTTTTTATGTACCTACCTACATCGGAATCTGAAGGTATCTATTCATCCCCTGGAAATAATGAAAAATAGATCGTTGTACCATTTCAAACCTTTTTCCCAAAGTAGTTCCACAAAATGTCTTGTTGATTTTTTTATTAACAAAGAATCAGGACATTTCAGCCACTTGTCTGCAACTCAGTAATCATTCGATATTTCTTAATCTACGAGTATCCACCCTGCTGGTAGCTTTTGAATTAGATTTTCCGGCAAGATCGATCTTTAATCTCCTTGAAAAACTTTCAAATATTTTTCCAACCAAAAGATACTTCATTCTTTCTTTCACATTCATTCAATGACTTTCAACGTGCCAATATAAGGAAAACAACAGGAATATACACACGTTGGTGATACTTACGTCCATATTCGCACTGATTTCCATAATAATCTGGCTTGCAGTGGCAAATCACTCTCTGATCCGGTCCAGTTTCGCAACTCTCCTCTCTGTTGTTGCACGGACACCTGGAACAGGATCCAAGTGGTCTGCTCTGGTCGATGTAGAGATCTTTGTAGTATCCCGAAGCGCAAGCTTCGCAAGACGATCCTCTGTACCCTGGCGGGCATCTACATACTTCCACGCTGCTTGCTCTTGGTTTTCCTGTGTACTGGTCGACTGCCGTGTCAAGGGTTATATCGCTCAGGTACGCGGTACCGGTGTCGCTGGACTGTGTTGCTCTGATCAGAATGGTACCGACATTGGCCAGAACGGTAAGAATGTCTTCACGAGNATTACTTTCTTCCTTTCCTTGGAAGATTCCCTCATCCTTGTTTTTTGTATCAAGATGGAGTAGTAGAAAGCCAAAAACTTTCTTTCCCAAAAATGATAATCAACTTTACTTCTCTTTTCAGTTTCCTGACATTGATTCTGCTCAAAATCTTATCAATGGTGATCTACAGACCATTTTTGATATTTCGTCAGCCCATAAATTGAAGTCAAACTCCAAAAAGTCGGTAGTAATGATTTTTGGACCAGAAAGATTGCGAGATATTGCTAACAAATTCATATTAATGGTGACGTTCTGCCTTCTGAAACGGAAATGGAGATTTGAGGCCTGTTGTTCGATTCTGAATTGCGCTTTACAAAACACTTGGGTACCTTGGTAACTTGGCAGCTGTCTGACTTGTCTATTCAGTCCAAGTCTCCAGAAAATACTGCAGCCTCTTGGGCTTATTGTGTTTATTCTCCCATCTTCCCATGACATCCTTTCCATCAGTCTCGTTCTCTGTACTAGTTTGTACAGATTCCCTGTTGGATGTTCGTCATATCCTTCTGAACCTCATTTCGTACGTCCATATATTGCCTGCCTCCTGTGATTCAGTGTTTCACATTCGCATTAGATGTGTAGAGCTGTTTCTATCCCTTCGTTGCATAATCTGCAGCTGAGGTCTCCGTTGTACAGCCCCATTTTTTCAGGTGTCCTCTAAGCAGACAATGACCAGTTGGTAACCCTGTAATTATTCTGAGCCAATCCCTATTATATTGAAGTAGTTCGTCGGTTCCCTAATGAAGGATCTACCGTGTTTGTTGCCAGGTACTTTTGTCCAATATTCTGTGTGCTTCTTATTGGTCCATGTCCTGATCTGGTTTCGCACCAATGATTTTGGTACCCCCAGAGCTGGTTCAGGACCTATATAAAGTTGATGATCCGTATCTAGCGCATTCATCAGCTTTATCATTACCTGTGATTCCTGGCATACAGTACAAAGTTAATTTGTTCCTATTTGCAAATTCATTCAGTTCTTCATTTCCATTCCCAGACCAGTTTTGATGTCACCTTCGGGTTTGTCAGAGCCCTTAGTGCGCCCTTGCTGTCTGTTAAAATATTGATCCGGTCATCTCTTTGAGGTCTCAATGAGTCTTGCACACTGCAAGATAGCATACACTTTCACCTGAAAGACAGATTTGTATAGTCCTAGCGGATAGTTAGGTAGTTTAAATTTATATCCGCTCGATATATTCCAGCTGCCGTTCCATATTTGGTCGTCGATTCATCTGTATACCAGGTGTTTTTTCCAAATATGTTGTCGAGATGACTGATGGTCTTCCACTCTTCACGGCTAATGATTTTGGCCGTGAAGTTTGTGTTAAAGGTGTACTTCGGTGTCATGTAGTCCGTGCACATATTCAATATGTGCTCCTCCACTTGTTCCGATATTTCTGTTCGGTCTGATCTTCTGTAGTTCGGTGAGTTTTCCAGTCTGAATTGGACCATACTAACCTCCCTCATTACCACGAAGTGTAACAGGAGTGTCTCCAATGCAGCTGTTGGGGTAGTTCTCATTGCTCCAGTAATTACCAAATATGCAAGTCTTTGCACTTTGCCTAGTTTGTTGGTGGCGGTTGCCTGCTACATCTTTGGCCACCAGACCAGAGATGCGTATGTTATCATGGGTTTAACACGTTAGACATTTGATCCAAATTTTCTCGAAGCAACTGTATCGAAGTTGGGACTTACTCATCAAAAAACTCAAACTAAAACTGCGAGGCGCTAATTAAATCCGAAGTTTCATATTGCAACAGCATTTTATTGCCTTGTCAACATCACAACTGAAGT